TGAACTGCAGTGAAACTAAAGATGCAGGCTTGCTGGGATTATTCACTACCCCAGTGTAAATCTACAGCTGGCTTGTTGGGATCAATCACCATGGATCTGGGCTCTGTGTGGCCAACTTGTCTACCAGTAACAGCAGAGACATACCTTGAAGTGGACATTTTTTTGTTTTTGTTTTTTGTTTTCTCTTGTTTGTTCTTGTTTTTAAGAGTGTGAACATTGTTTCTAGTTTTTTGTTTGTCTGTTTGTTTAAAAGGAGGAAATATTTATTGAGGGATAGACAGCTCCTTCCTGAGAGGGACAGAAGGGGACCTGGAAAGTGGGTTGCCCACGAGCCCACTTTTCGAAGAACTGTTTCTAGTTTTTTTTGTTGTTCTGTTCTGTTCTTCTTTATATTTCTTCCTTCTTTCTTTTCCTCCTGTCTTCATCAGTTTCTCAAAGTTTGCATAATCTTCCTCTGCCTCCAGCCTTGATTCTAATCTCTTCCTCTTCTTCTATTTTTCTATGCCCCGCCCCCAATTCCTTTTAAATTTTTTACCGTGAAGGTAAAATAGCCATATCGAGGGCATATTTACTGTGTACAATTTTCTGGTTTATTTTAGATCTTGTTGTATAACCACAAATATACTTCATACAGTTAAAAGTAGCATATCAATAGTTACCATAGTTTGTCATTTTCTAGGCTGTGTTTGATGCTATTGTTATTGTTGATTGTACTACTTTAGCCAAGGTGACATAATTGTTCTTTGTTTTTTTTTGGTTTTGGTTTTTTTTTAGTACCAGGGATCGAACTCAGGTCCTTGTGCTTTCAAGGCAGGCAGCTGAACCACTGAGCTGAATCCCCGGCGCTATGACATAATTGTTCTAATCAGTTGTTCTGCCTATATGCTAAGACTGAGATTGCTTATGGGTCATAAATAATACTATAGACCAGTGCCAAAGAACCAGGGGCTAGGCCAAATGGACAGCCACTTCTCATACTCAATAAATTGAAGGGGTAGGATTTGGTAAAAGACTCAAAACCCAAAACCCCTTCTAGCTACACCTGGAAGACATCTCTGAGGAGTAGCCATTTCCTTAAGGCTCTAAACACTAGCAATAAAGCTACTTTCCATAAGCAATTACAAGCATCAACCTGGGAATTAAACTAAAAAAAAAATAGAAAAATGAGAAGACACTTAAACAAGATGCAACCTTAGACTTCCAGCTCACCAAAGGCAAATTCAGGGGACAATGAGGTGGAACAATTTGAAAGCCGCCCACCTGGACTCTTTGAAGTGGTAAAAGCAGAAGTAACAAAGCAGATGAATGCAGCTCTAGAAAAAAATCAAATCAGAAATAATATCTCAAATAACTTCAGAATAGTGACTATAATGAAAGACATGGGGGCCAGGGATTTAGCTCAGTGGTTCCGCCACCTGCCTTGCAACCACAAGGCTCCAAGTTTGATTCCCAGTACCAAAAACAAAAATAAAGAAAGAAAGAAAGAAAGAAAGACAGACAGACAGACAGACATGGTTAGTGACTCTAGAGCAGATACAGATTTAAAAAAATAGAGGAGCTCAGGAAAATGATGGAAACCAAGAACGCCCAATATAGGAAAGAAATGGAATCCATGAAACAGATTCAAACAGATATCCAGGAGATTAAAAACTCCATTGAAAGTATGTACAACAGAATGAGCCAATGTGAGGACAGAATATCAGATACAGGAGTCAGGGTTGTGGTTAGCAATCATAAAAAGAAAAATTTCTTTAAAATAGCAAGGGACCATGAAAAATCAATCCAGCAGCTGCTAGATGATACAAAGAAGAATAACAAGATTGATCAGAATTGATGAAAAAGCAGGAGACAGTGAAAATGACATTTTTTTTTTTTTTTTTTGCTAATGACATTTTTTAAAAAAAACTGTTCTCAGAAGGAATAGCAGAAAACTTCCTAAGCATCGAAAAAGAATTTGACATACAGGTAAATGAGCCATATAAAACTCCAATTAGTCATGATCAAAAAAAAAATCTACACCAATGCATATTATAGTCAAGATTCAGAAATTCAACACAAAGAATATTGAAAGCTGTAATAGAAAAGAAACAAATCACCTATAAAGGAAAGCCCATCAGAATCACAGCAGACTTCTCAATTCAAATCCTCAAGTCAAGGAGAGCTTGGAGAGAAGTATTTCAACCCCAAAAAGAAAACAACCTGTGGGGGCCAGGGATTTAGCTCAGTGGTTCCGCCACCTGCCTCACAAGCGCAAGGACCCGAGTTCGATCCCCAGTTCCAAAGAAAGAAGAAAAAAGAAAACAACCTCCAACCCAGATTGATGTACCCTGCAAAATTATCTTTCAAAACTGATGGAGAAATAAGATACTTCCATGAAAAAGAACACTGGAAGAAATTCATGAATGCCAAACCAGCACTCCAAAGTGTTCTGAAGGATATTCTAGAAAGAGATAATGAGGACTGCAACTCCATGAACCCCAACAGAATGAATCCAGGCAAGGCAAGCAATTAAACAGACGGTAAAAAAGGAACCAACAATAGGAAAATAACATAACAAGGATAAGTCAATATATATCAGTTATAACATCAATGTAAATGGTCTCAATTCACCAATCAAAAGAAACAGACTGGCAGAATGGATCAAGAAGCAAGATCCAACAATGTGCTGCATTCAAGAAACACATTTTTTTTTATTGGTACCAGTGATCAAACTCAGGTCCTTGTGCTTGGAGGCCAGGAGGCAGAACCACTGAGCTAAATCTCCAGCCCCCCAAGAAACACATTTAATTCAAAAAGAAATTCATGAACTGAAAGTCAAAGGATAAAAAACAGGTACATGTGTGTCCCTAGCAGTGTCATTCATAGGAGCCAAAACAACTCAAATGCCCATCAACTGATGTGTGAATGAATAAAATGTCACACACCCATACAGTAGAATATTATTGCACAATAAAAATGAATGAGGTAGTAAAACATGTTAAAACAGGAATGAGGTTTGAAAACATTAGGCTAGATGTGCCTAGAAGTGCATGCTTATAGTCTGAACTACTGAGAAGGCTGAGGCAGGGGGATTGCTTGAAGTTAGAAGTTTATTGCTGGGGCAACATAAAGAGGCCTCATTTCAAAAAAAAAAAAAAGAGAAAGGGTAGGGAGGAAAGGGAAGGTAAAGGAAGTGAAGGGAAAAGAAAGAGAAGAGGAAAGGGAAAGGAAAAGGGAAAAGGGGAAAAAATTCAGCTAAGTAAAAGTAGTTTGTTTCAAAGGAGCAAATATTGCATCACTCTGTTTATATGAAATGTCCAGAAAAGGTCAAAGCCACGCATGGTGGGGCACACCTATAATCCCAGCACTCAGGAAGCTGAGGCAGGAGGATTGCCTTCTCAGGCCAGCCTTGGCTACATAGTGCATTCAGGTCAGCTTTAACTACACAGCGAGACCTAGTCTCAAAAAACCAAAACAAGCTCAGTGGTGCCGCCGTCTGCCTTGCAAGCACAAGGTCCTGAGTTCAATCCCTGGTAACCCCCCCCCCAAAAAAAAATTAACAACCAGAAAAGGCAAATCCATAGAGATAGAAAGCAGACTAGTGGTTTCCCAGGGCCAGGGGTGAGAGATTGTAGCTAAGGGTTATATGGTTTCTTTTGGAGGTTATGAAAGAGTTCAAAAATTGATTGTAGGCCAGGAGTGGTGGTGTATGCCTGTAATCCCAGTGCTTGGGAGGTTGAGGCAGGAAGATCGCTTCAAGTTCAAAGCTAGGCTACAAAGTGAGTTCAAGGCCAGCCTGAACTGCAGAGGGAGACCCTGTTTCAAAAGAAAAAGACTGTAATAAGAGTTGCACAACTCTGGGAATACTAAGAGGCATTTCTTGCATACCTTAAATGGGTGAATTGTATGGACTGCGAATTATGTCTCAATAAAGCTGTATGTTAAAAATCTCTAGGGCTGGGAATTTAGCTCAGTGGTGCCACCGCCTGCCTCGCAATTGTAAGGTCCCAAGTTCGATCCCTGGTACAAAAAAAAAAAATGGGGGGAGGGCGGGGATTTAGTTCAGTGGTTCTGCTGCCTGCCACGCAAGTGCAAGGTCCTGAGTTCGATCCCCTGTACCAAAAAACAAAAAACCAAAAAATCTCTGGGCTTGACTCCCAGCCCTGCAAACAAAGAAAGAACAAACTGCAGTCTTACTACAGCCTACAAGGTCCTCCACTGTGTGACTTCACCATCATTCCCCTGCTCACTCTGCACCAGTCTCTGGGCCTCCTTGAGGCCCCTTGACTCCATCAATCACACTCCCAGGTCAGGGCCAGGTCTGTGGCGTATGGCTGAGCAGTTTGTGCACTGCACAAAAAGCTGAGTGTGAACTGAAACCTGGGCTTCTGCCTAGTAAGACTGGCCCCTGGGCCTCACCTCTCAGATGCGTCACTTTTCCTGATGGGCACAGAGCTGTTTGTGGCAGCCGTCTGTCCTTCCTGACCACTCTGTATAGCCCCCAACATGCCCATCTCTCTCTACCCCTCATTTTCTACTTTACTTCCCAGAACCTCCTGCCACCTGGTATCCTCACAGGAGGTCTTGGCCTCCGCCCATCTCCTTCCATTGGACAGAAAGCTCCATTAGAATGACAGCTTTGTTTAGTTCACTGCTATATCCCCAGTGCCTAGAATAATGTCTAGCACATAGCAGGTGCTCAACAAATACTTCTTAAGTGAATGAATGAATATGGTAAAATTAAGTGATCATCATAGGCTTTAACATGGACCAGTCTCTGGGCGCAGCAGTGTGCCTTTAGTTCGAGCTACTCATGAGGCTGAGGCAGGAGCACCAGCTTGACGCCAGTCTGAATAACACAGTGAGATGCCACTTAAACACAAGTAAATAAACACCCAGGTGTGGTGGCACATGCCCATAATCCCAGCTACTTGGGAGGCTGAGACAAGAGGACTGCAAGGTGTGAGTGAGGTCTGCGGCTGGCACTGGAAGAGGAAGCCACTCACAGGCTGGCTTCTTACCTGCTCCTTGGTGTAGTACTTAAGGAGGCCTTCTCTCGCCAGCAGGACGAACCTTCTCCTCAGGTACTGTCCATTGTCCCTGCCCCGCTTCCACAGGATTCCTTCTCGGTTACCTGGCCCACAGGGACAAGAAGGAGTGAACACTCCTGACCTTCAGGTGCACAAGCGGCTCTTGAAACCCTTAGGATTTCGTGGCAGAGAGCCCTCCACCTGTGACCCAGGCCCTCCGATCTCACTTGGCTGTTTCAGCGGTAGGATGAAAGGGTCCTGTCTGTGGCCAGCCCCACGATGTCTTATCATTTTGAGAGAACTCCCCATGGTGCAAAATCTTTCCTCCCCAGCTCTTTAGGGAACCAGGCTGTCCCATTAGAAAATATAACAAATACAGCCGGAGATTTAGCTCAGTGGTTCCGCCACCTACCTCACGAGTGCAAAGTCCCGAGTTCAATCCCTGGTACCAAAAAAAAGAAAACAAAATATAACAAACCCACAAGAAAGCTAAATCCTGAGAGACTGGATGGATTCTGAAAGAGGCCTAAATATACATGGGCCTTCTCCACTTCACATTGACAACGGCCTAATAGGACTCTGGGGATTCTGAGTGACCTCAAGGCACCTGCCAGTCTGAAGAATAATTTGCCCTTCTGGTAAAACAATGAGTAGTGTGCTGGTTTCCTCTGGTCCTCCCAGAGGGCTTTCATGCACTTTGCTCCATGGGTCAGTGTCAGCTTGGACTCAGGGCAGTGGGATGAAAATTGCCATGGATCCAGGGCGACCAATGAGGTTCTACCCTGCACAATGAAGGAAAGGGAGGCTGAATCCCAGCCCCACTAAAGCTTGAGCCACACTGGAGCAGGGGGCCTTGCTCCAGTGGGTTGGTGGAGGAGGCTTCCTACAGCTTATATTAAGACTCTGTGGGCCAGGATTTAGCTCAGTGGCACCGTGTCTGCCTGGCAAGTGCAATGTCCTGAGTTCGATCCCTGGTACCAGGAAAGAAAAGGCACTGTGACACTGTGACCCTGAAAAGGCCCACCTGCTTCTCTGCTGGTCAGCCCATAAACCCCACCTGCCCATGCACCACGTGCTTGCTGTTCCTGGGCATGGGAGCTCACACCATGGCTGTAGGGGCACCACGAGGCAGCAGGCATCTTGTGGATAGATCTTGCTGCTAATATTCAGCCCCACCAGAATACAGATCTGGAAGATCAGAAAACAACTTTACCTGGCGAGGAGAGTGGTTTCCCATCAGCCATAAACTCCTGTCTCTCATACTTAGCTCGAATCCATTGCTCCTTTAAGACCCTAAAAAGAGAGAAGCTGTGGTCAGCTGTGCTCTGGTCTCTCCACAGTACCTTTTCAAGACCCTGCAGCTGAGGGCAAGAACATCATGATCACTGCTGTCTTGCCTGCTCAGGACATCTGGGGCTTTCTGGCCTCAGGACTGTTAACATTTGGTGCTGGGTAATTCTTTATCATGGGGGTTTGTGCTGTCCTTTGTAGATCATTTAGCAGTATCTCTGTCCTCTACCAGAGGCCAGTAGCACCCCCCTCCCCCAGATATGACACCCAAAGTGTCTCCAGACATCGCCAAATGTCTCAAGGGAAAAAATATTTCTCCCCAAGGGCTGAGCACCACTGGGCTATCCCAGCCCCAGCTTCAGCCCTCTGGGTCATTAAGGAAGGCACAGCTTCTCTGGGCAACTCCAAGCCCCTCCCACTGTATGGTCGGAGCCTGAGCCAGGAGACCCCAAGAGCCTCTTCCTGTGTCTGCTCTAGAACCCTGGGTGTGTGACACTGGGTAGGCAGTGGCCTTGGGCCTGACCAGCTGGATCTGTGGTCACTGCGGCCCACTGTGTGACTTAAGAACAAGTTACTTCACTCCTCTGAACTTGGGGAATACACTAGTGGTGATGTATTTACCCATGCTTCAAAGCTGTTGAGAAGTCTAAATAAATGTATGTAAGAGGCCCAGCACTGTGGTTGGCACAGAGCAGGTGTTTAATGCTACCTCAATTAGATGTTGTCATCCATGACCCCCTGCAGGAAAACCATGCAGCCTAGAGTAGAATTATTTTGATTGTTTTGTTCCCTTTCACCTTTTCCAGGTAAATGTTCCAAGGTTTGGATGACCTTGTGCCCTGGCCACCGGAATGACCTACAGCCGGGCACTCAGAGCCCTGGGATGCACGGACCAAAATGGAGAAACTGATTGGAAGCCCTCTCTGGGGTCGTGCTGGGCAGTGTAGCCTGGCACCTGGAAGTGACCTTGCTGCCAGCTATGTGAAAAACTCTGGCTTAGAGGAAGATATAGGGATAAGAACAGAGAGAGTGAAAGCCCCTGGCTGGGTCCTTCCAGAAGGTGGCTCCACCCTATCCCTTCCTGTGGTCTGATCCCCAGCACCCATAGAGTCCTCTTCAGCCTGAGCCAGCTTACAGTGGGTTCTGTCACTTACAGTCAAGAGTTCTTCAGCTCTTACTCCCGGGACACCAGGGAGAGCCACCAGGCACACCAGGAGGGTGGGAATCCCAGGCCACATGGTCAGATCTGAGAGAGGGACTGGACACCCAGGGCACCGTGGGGAATTTAGAGGCGCTTTAGAACTGGGGGTGGGGGGGTGGCCATTAGTATTCAGCTCAAAGGGGTTAAAATCCAGGTTGTGTTGAAGTCATGACAAGCAGTGTCTGTGTGGTGCTAGCAGGAAGCCACACACAGCAGGTGCTCAGCAAGTGCTTGGAGTAAAGGGGTGAGTGATGGGACCTTTAGTGGAGGTAGCACACCCCTCAGCTGGCCCAGGACCAGCAGCATTTGGAAACTGACATAGAAATGCAGTAAAACTAGTGTGGTCAGGCGTGGTGGCGCATGCTTGCAATCCCAGCACTTGTGAGACTGAGACAGGAGGATCACAAGTTCCAGGCCAGCCTAGTACCCTGTCTCAACAAAGCAAAACAAAATGAGCATGTCAGGTGGCATGTGAGAGCTTTTACATAAATTTTCTCAGTTGATCTCTACAACTGTGCCATAAGGCAGACAGCATTGTCTATATTCCAGAGATGACATCTGATAACTTGTTCACCTCTTCACAGCTGGGAGCGGTTGAGTTGGGAAATAAAACTGAGGACTTCTGAATAGAAAGGTGTGTCACCCTACTACTCCATGCTGCATCAGCAACCTGGGGTTATCTAAGGACTGAGAAACTGCGGGGCCACCAGATACAGTTGTGTAGTTTGTGCGCAGCTCAAAAGCACTCTGCAGAGCAAGGTGACCAAAGTACAGCTTGCTCCCTGCTGGCTGTGTCTGCCTGGAGGACCCCTTTGCTCCATTTACACAAGGCGCTCTCTAACAGCCCTGGTAGTGAGTCTGAGTCCTGGCAAAGCAGGGTCAGGGTCAGGTAGTCAGTACCCTAGAGGTCCAAGGTCACTAGGTACCAGGGTCACTCTGACCTCTCATCCTCCAGCTGCTCCACAGCCCTCTTGGTATCGTGGGTTCTCCTAATGCCATTACAGTCACTCAGGCCCTGGTGTCAGATAGGCTCAGCCCTGTATCACAGGGACAACAGTGATGCTCATGAGTTTGTAGAGAAAATGAAAGAAGTAATGCATGATAGCATTTAGCACAGCACCTGGTCTACAGGAGTTCAATAAATATTAGTAGCTACTCTTATTTTTACGGTTCTTATTCAGGATCTGCTGCTTAGGTGAGTCTTCACAGCCCGAGCTTAGGGAGGACAACCCTAGACTACACTCAACAAGAAGTAGCTCAAACATACTTGTTCTACTAAAACACCAGCACTGTTCCTTCTCTCAAATGCAGGTTATAAGAACACTAGAAGCAGAGGCCTACATCACAGAGAAAACCCCACTGCACAGCTACAGAATCTGAGCCCAGTGGAAGGGAGTAACAACCAGGAACACAGCTGGAGAGAAGCTTAAACCAGGACCCTTCTTCCTCTCCCTCACTCTTTCTCTTCCTCCCCCTCTCCCTCCCTTCCTTTCTTCCTTTCATTTTTTTGTGGTATTAGGGATTTCAATGAGGGCCTTTGGACTGAGATACATCTCCAGCACTTTTATTTTTTATTGTTAAGACCCAGTCTTGCTAAATTGCCCAGGCTGGGTTTGAAATTGCAATCCTCCTGCCTCAGTGTCCCAGAGTGCTGAGATTATAGGCATGCACCACCAAGCCTGATTTCTTTTTCTTTTTTTTGCACTGCTGGGGATTGAACCCAGGGCTTGCACATGCTAAGCAAGCATTCCACCACTGAGCTACATCTCCAGCTTCTTTTATTTTATTGTGAGACAGGTCCTCCTTAATTTGCCCAGGCTGGCCTTGAACTTGTGACCTTCCTGCCTCAGTCTCCTGAGTAGCTGGGATTATAGGTGTGCACCACTGTACCCTGCAAACCAGGATTCTTACGCATCCTCCGTGACAGTTCTGAATACATTTCTGGATCTACCTGCTGACTAGGTGGAGACTGCACAAAGGTACTAGTGATGGGATGGGATGGAGGACGTGGAACCTGGAAGACCCCCTCCCACTGCCCCTAACAAATGGCTTACTCACGAGCAGTCACTGGCCTGGGGGATGTAGTAGAAGGCTGGGACACTGGCTTCGAACTTGGCCTTCACATGGAGGTTTCCATTGTGAGTCATAAACTGCAAGACAACAGTAACTTGAGCAATATGAGAACTTGAGTAATATGAGAACTTGAAACAGTGTGAAATGAAACCATGGTCTACCCAGAAGGCCATGCATTTCCCTGGCTCCTGGGTGGGTCAGAAGACACCGCCTCCTGGAAGGAGACTGCCCACCAGGTGTGGTCACCAGCCCTGCACAGTGAGGGATAGTAACACCATGCCTCATGGAGCTCTTCCATAGCAGCTCACTGGAACTCCTCACCACTTTGCTGTTCCCATCCTCACTTTAGAGATGAGGAAACCCACGCTCTGAGAGACTGGATGATTCGCCCAAGGCCACACAGCTAGTAAGTGGAAAACTGAGATTTGAACCCTGCCCTGTGTGACTCCAAGCTTATGTTCTTTCTCCCACTTCCTCCCTCGATTGCCAGGACCCCAGTGGGCCCAAAGATCTGCAGAAGACCCAAGCAGCTGGAGGATGAAAGAAATGGATGTGGGCCCCACAGATATGTGGGTCAGTGGGATCTGTGACTGACAGACCAAGAGTGGAGGTGGCAGTGGCATGTCTAGGGTGAGGGCAAGAGAGGAACAAACACCAGGTTGTGAATGCATATCCCTTGGGGCGAGTGAACCCCTCCCAGGGGATTCCTGGGCAGTGTCCCAGGATGTGCACCAGCTTTGCATCCCAACAGAGCAAGGCTCAAGTTCTGACTCTGCCATTTAGTCCATGAGTGACCCTGGGATCCCAAGGGTCTTTTACACTTGCAAAAATGAAGAAAAGAGGACAAGGGCATTGGAAGGCACAAATAAAACCCATGAGGTTCCTGTGCCAATGGATGGGTTTCCTGAGTGCCTCCTGCATGAGAACAGAAGCCCCAGATGAGCAGGGACCTCTCTCAGCACCCAGCACACACAGGGCTTAGAGGAGCTATGTGCTGACTAAGCAAACCCTCCAGCCCAGTGGGGTCTCCTGAAGGCAGAGTAGGCATCCAGTAATGTCACCTGCTTCCCCAGTCGTCCTTGAACCCAAGTTTGAACTGCCTGCTCTCTGAAGGCTTTATGGGCACAAGAGCATTGCCACCTGGACTGACAGCATCCTCCATGCCCACTGGGCAGGAGGGCAATGGTCCTTCTCCCAGCTGGGGAGAGGAGGAGGAGGGCATAGACCAGGGACCAGGATGTTTCCCTTCCTCTAGTCTAGGGCTCCCACTGATGACAGCAGCAACTGTTAATCGACAGCTTAGTGCACCTGGACTGAGCCTCCATTTAATCCTCACAGCGGCCCTACAAAAGGGTGGTGTCTGCCCATACCACCACCGCGGAAACCGAAGGTCCAGAGCTAGGGTTAAGTAACTAGCTTAGGCCTCCCAGGTTGTAAGTAAGCAAATGATGAGGCAGGATTTGACCTCAGGGCCCTTGTGTAGGCTTCCATCTCCTAGGCTGTGTGTCTTCTCCTTAGTCATGTCCCTCTCTGGGCTTCAGTTTTCTCCCTCCCCATGGCTTCACTCCAACTCTACGCTTTCTTTCGGGCTCTGCACGTGCACGCCTTCCCACCTCCACAATGCTGTCGTCCCAGAAGTCAAGCCGCACGGATTTGACTTTGCTGATCTCGGGAAAGTTGCGGTGGACTCCGGAGCAGTGCAGACAGATGAAGATCCCCAGCTTGTAAGAGGCCCAGTCAGGATCTGCGGGGCAGGGAGGCAGAAGCAGAGCTTAGCAGAGGGGAGTCCAGGGTGAGCGGAGGGTGCGTGGGCCGGCTGAGGCTGCGGGGCGCCGTAGCCATCTCTGCCCACGCGGGGACCCTTGTCTCTCAGTCTCCCCACCTCTGACCCACTAAATTACCAGCAGGAAAGCTTGTGATCAGCGCACCCACAGTGGGCGAAGCCCTCCGAGGGAGTCCAGGGCTGGGAGTGGGCGCGACGTGGACGCGACAGGACCGAGGGGGAACCAAGAGGAGCGCGGGAGGGGCCCGCACCGCGCACAGGGGGGCGGCCTGAGCCAGGGCACGGGGCGTGGGGGGCCGGGGAGGGTCGTGGGGGACGGGGCCGGGGGATTCAGGGTCCCTCGGTGGGTGGTGAGAGGTGCCAGGGTCCGGAGAGATGGCACAGGGACGCGGGTGTCGGGTCAGGGTGGTGAGCGGGACGCCAGGGCGCCCGGCTCCGGATCCAGTGTCGCGATCCGGTCCCGAGTGGGGAGTCCGGGTGGGGGTCGGGGTCCGAGTGGGCGGGGCAGGACAGGGGCGCTCACGGGGGACGAGTCCGCGGGGTCCGGGTCCGCGAGCTGGGGTCCCCGGCCGCTCTCCGCGCCCTTACCCGGCGCCCCGCAGTCGGCGCAGCGCGCGTTGCCGGTGTCCGCCGCGTGCAGCAGCTCCAGCAGCCGCTTCTTGTTGCGCTCGCGGTCGCTCATGGCCGGCCCGTCAGGCTCCGCGGGCTCAGCACCGCCGCCTCCCCGCCCCGGCCGCCCAGAACCAGCTCCGCCCCCACGACCCTTCCGCCCCGCCCGGGGGACAGGCGCAGGGCGTGGAGGCCGTCGATCAGCGCGACGTGAGGTCCTGGCCGGCCACAGGCTCGCGGTGTGCGACAAGGTGAACTGCCGGCTCAGCCTTTCTGGGCCTCAGTTTCCACCGCTGTCTTCCTCCGAGAGGAAGACAGGCATATGCCTGCAGCTTAGGACTCCTGGGGAAAATTAAACAGTCTAACTTCTCATAAAGCGCTTCACTGATGTAAGATCTTACACCCACTTGGAGAGTGGCTGTAGGCAAATGCCACCTCCCAGGAAGCCCTCCTAATACTCGGTCCAGGATCTGCCCTTCCCTTTGGCCACCGCGCATCGTGGTAATATATATACAGTAGTCGTGTTAATTCCACCCTCTGCTCCCGAACACACTCTAGAAAGTTGCCCTCACTGGAGAGTTCAATGTCAGCAATTTATTTCCGTGACCCTCGGCTCCTAGCACCAGTACCTGCATTTTTTTTCTTTCCTTTCTTTTTTTTCAAGGTGGTGGGGGAGGTTTGCCCTGCTGCTGGGAATTGAACTCACGGCCTCCAGCATGCTAGGCTGGCGCTCTACCACTGACCTACACCCTCCGGCCTTCTTAAAATTGTATTTTGAGACAGGATCTCACTAAGTCACTAAGTTGTCCAGACTGACATCCAACTCCCCATCTTCCTACCTCAACCTCCCCAGTAGCCAGAATCACAGGCAGTTGACACCTGCACATTTGAAAACTTCCAAAAACTAGTTGTATGCCTGTGTTCATCAGGAAGTGAATCAACTTGGACACAGCGGGGTACAGTAAAGTTCCATCACCGGGGGTGAGGGCAGAGCTCAGGTGACCTTGACGCTGAGCATCCCATCAAGCCCTTTCCCTTCGTGTCACCATCCTCAGCGACTCATGGGGCTCCTGGTACACGCTAAGCATCTCCTCTGTACATCTATCCTACATGTACAGTTTAAAGTACAGGCTGTAAGGTTTCCATCCTGATGGACAGCAACTGATAGTATAGGTGACCTGCTTGCATCCCCCCCACATACACCAGTATGATATAATGCAGTGAATCCGGGAATCTACAAATTCAGGTTTTGACTGTTGATTCCTTTACTTTCTAGCTGGTCATCTTTGGACAAGTTCTTTCGCTTCTCTGAGCCTTGGACTCCTCACATGTAAAACGAAGATGTTGAAATCTACCTAAAAGGGTCTTTGAGATGGCACACAAAGCTCTCAAACCACAGTGGTTGCTTTGCATCCCCTGCCTGTCTGGTCAGCTTGGGAGGTTGTCATCTGGAGTGCTGTGTGTCATTTCCCATCAGCCCTACAGTGGAAGAGGTCAATTTCCCATCATCCCTAGAGTGGAGAAGGTCAAGCCGCCAGCCCAGAGGAGGGAGGGGGAAGCATTCCCAGGAACAACCAGCCATGTGGGTCTTTACTGTGGAGGAGGGTGAGTCCTAGCCCAGGGACAGCCACAGATGGCTGAGTGAGAGAGCCATGTGGGGTCAGGGGGTATGAGGTTAAGCAAATGACATGATTCATTTCTGCTACTTTGGATGGACAGAGAGAGAGAAAAATAAATCTCCCCGGAAGAGAGATGGGAAAGCCAACCTAAGGTAAGAAAGTTGAGAGGAGGGGTGGGGGAATAAAGAGGGATAAGCCGAGGCTATTTCTCCTTAGGACAGTGATGGGACAAAATTGTGACATTCCTCTTCTCTTCATCCTGATTCTCACTGTCCCTTCCCTGGAGGTCTCCCAAAAGCAATCTAAAGAAAACATAGTATAAGGGCCGGGGATTTAGCTCAGTGGTTCTGCCACCTGCCTCACAAGTGGAAGGTCCCGACTTCGATCCCCCATACAAAAAAAAAAAAGAAGAAGACATAGTACATTTCACATTTCTGCCAAAGAGCCAGGAATTCAGAGGTCTCCCTAGTTTTCCTGCTTCCTTTTTTATTTTTGTTTCTCATTGAACAGGAATCAGAGCGTAGAATTTCAGGCATCCTTAGAATTAAAAAGAAAACAAACAACAAAACCTCTGTCATTTTGCTGTGACAGGCTTCTTCCCTGCTTTGCTTCTGTTTGCGGGGAGGTGATGCTAGTGGACACTTACTGAGTGTTTTTCAGAAGAGCTTCTCACATTTCATAAATGTGAGCTGCAGGATCCCCCTCCGAGGGCAGCAGGGTATCAGCTGCCTTGCAGAAGAGAAGTTGAGCCTCAAGAGGAGTTGAGTTACCCAAAGTCACAGAGTCATGGAGCAGAACAGGGGCCTAAACACAGGTCCCTTATCTTGATGTCCTTCGGTCCAGGGTTATTTCATGAAATAAATAATTGTTTACTCTCTTATACACTTTTTGTTTTTTGAGACAGGGTCTTGCTACACAGCCCAGGCTGGCCTCAAACTCATGGCCATCCTCCTGTCTCAGCCTCCCAAGTGCTGAGATCACAGGCGTGCACCACCATACTCAGTGTTTTTCATATACATTTAATGAGTACAAAGTGATGATTTGAGACACATAAACATTGTATAATGGGCTGGGGATTTAGCTCAGTGGTTCCGGCGCCTGCCTCGCAAATGCAAGGTCCTGAGTTCAATCCTCAGTACCCCCCCGCAAAAAAAACATTGTATAATGATGACTATAATCAAATACAATCCATCACACCCATGCTGTATATTAGATCCCCAGAACTTGTTCATCTTATTTTTTTAGTTGAATGTGTCATTTACTTGTTCATCTTATCACTCAAAGTTTGTACCCTTTATTTTCACCACTATTCCCAAAACTTTTATGGCCCCAAACGGAAACTCTGTAGCCTACTCCTGGGTACTGGGTAATAGTTGAGCTCAGCGCCAGGAAAGAGGCTGCTCCTAAGGGAAGAAGACTACGCCAGAGGCATCATGAGCAGGGATCTGTGGGGCAGGTGGGCTGAGGCAGTTGCTGTGGGGTGCTGAGTCCAGGCAGCAGCTGCTGCTGGGGCAAGAGACAGAATGTGTCCTCAGATTGGTGCCTCTTCAGCTGAGGGGAGCCTCAGCAGGGCTAGAAGAAAGCCTCCAGCTGCATTCTCAAGAACCCCCTCACAATCCCCAGAGAACAGTGTGTGACCCTTTTGTGAATTTAAATGCTTATGTTTATTAGTTTTAAAATTTGGAAGAAAACTATAATTATAGGAAATTTGGAAAATACAGTAAAGAAAGAAAAACCACTCATAATTATGGTCACCATTTACTCAGGGATTGCAGTGTGCCAAGCTGCTTACATGAATTACTTCCTTTAATCTTTGTCATGCCCTGAAACGTAGTTTTATGCCCATTTTACAGAAGAGGCAACTGTGACCCACAGAGAAGTAAATTTGTTGAAGGTTACACAACTAAGATGATGCATTCTGGGTAATGCATAGTACTGGAGCTGAGATTTGAACCCAAGTTTGTGTTGCACCCTTTCTACCAATACATCAGATTGAACCAGATAAATCTGACTTAGAAAAATAGCAATGTCATGCAGTTCAAACTAATACTATGGTTTGAATTGTACTTCTAATGACCATCAGTAACATTTTGTGAGTTTCTTCCTGGTCCTTTGTACATACACCAATATGACTGAGACTATAATTTTCAAACAACTTTTATCCCGCTTTTACTTTTCTACACACATCCTACATCACATTATTATGGATGTTTCATGAGATCTTTTTTTTTTTTTTTTTGGTACTGGGGATCAAACTCAGGACCTTGAGCTTTCAAGGCAGGCATGGTGCCACTGAGCTAAAACCCGGTCTTCATGAGATCATTTTAATGGCAATGTAATAATCTATGTATATTTCTTCACTGTTGGACAGATGGATTTCAACCAATGTTGTAATGATTGTTGGGCTGGGGATTTAGCTCAGTGACACTGCACCTGCCTTGCACAAGGTCCTGTGTTCGATCCCTGGTACTAAAAAACAAACAAACAAAGATTGTCTTTATACCTGATGCTTTTTTTCACCTTTAAAGTTGTATATTTGAGCACCACATTCTACTGTTACCGCTTGCTGGTTTGCTGGTTTCCCTTGCTATCCTGGGCTTTGCTAGGATAGGAGTTGCCTGCTGCATTCTCGGCTGTATCCCCAACATCTGCCTGCTGCGTAGCAGGGGTTCAGTAAGTATTTGCTAAATAAACAGACATGAGTACCAATAAAAAAAATTAACAATAAAGTGAGAAGACTTGGGGTCACACACGCATTTTCCCTTTTTATTTTGTACTGGGGATCGAACTTGGGACCTTGTGCTTGTGAGGCAGGTGGCAGGCAGAACTACTGAGCTAAATCACCGGCCCTACATTTTCCCTTTTAAAGGAAAGAACTAACAGGTAGGCAAGTGAAAGAGCCAACAGCCAAGCAGACAGGCCAAAGAATCTGGTGGCGTGGACCTACAGATTTCTATATTCAATTTCACTTTGTCCTCAACAACAGGAATCAGCTTGGCACTCAGAGAGTCCCTAGTCCAATACCACCGAACTGTTTGCTCATTCATTCATTAAGAACAGTATTTATGGGGCACCTACTGTGTGCCCAGCCCTGTGATGGGTGCTAGGGAGAAATGAATATACATATACATAATATGGTTGAAGAGTAATAAATGATATAAAGAATAAAGGGATAGAGAAGGATAAAGGCTGTTATTTTAAATAAAGGGGTCAAGGAAGTCCTCTCTGATGAGGTGACCTTTAAGGAAGGTGTCTCAGAAAAGTATCCAGGGAATGACAACAGCAAATGCAAAGGTCCTGGGGTGGTAATGCTTGGTGTGTGCTTTGTCTGCCTCCTTTAAGCACAGGGCTGTCCAATTCCATGCCATTGTGTCTCACTTATGTTGCTCCCTCTCCTACTGCAGCCTTTTTCTGTACACCAGCCCCCACTGGTCTATGGAAATTTATTTCTATGCTCAAATTCAAATCTGCATTCTTACAGCTTGCCCTTATCTCCTGCACCTATGTTCCC